GGTGGGGGGGGGGGGGGACTGTGTGTGTGTGGATGATCACCTGAATCTGCTGCTTCTCCGGCACTTTGAAAGGCAGCCGATCGTTAAGGCGAGTCAGCAACGAACCTGCACACACCACACACCACACAGACAGACAGACACTTACACACACAGGCACACACACAGACAGGCATGATCTCTCTGTGCTCACTCACTTCTCTGCAGCAGAGGCTTAACATGCGCCCTCTCCTTCTGGCCGCCATGGCCGAACAGCCCTCTCCTGGGGGGCGACAGGAATGCACTGTGTGCCTTGGCGGACACGCTCACCCGGTGGCAGTGCGCCACGCACAGCAGAAACAACAGAGCGTATGCTCGTCGTTGCAGAGATAGGAATGCCATCGTGCTGCTTCCTGAAACCAGGTGCAGATCTGCTGAGCTCGCAAGCGTCTGCGAGCTGAGATCTTCCAAAGAGACGACGTTTCCCCCCATTCATTCACAACGGTTTGGAGCATTGCTGCCCACGATGAGTCATCAGATCTGTTGGCCATCTGGATCATCAGTCGGCAGGAGGAGCATGTCGATGCCGACACGGCATGTGGATGTTCCCAAGCAGCAGCAGCGGCATGCAGAGGCGCACGAGGAACGGGCACGGTCACGGCAGCGGCAATGGAGGAGGACGCCTTTATCGGCTTTATCTGTGGTCGGTGCTTTGCTTACCTACTTGCTTCCAGCAGCCACAGTATCCGCCATTCGCCCATCAACACCCACAGTGTCATCAGCCGCTTTCCAACTGATCTTGCCATCCATCTCACCAACAAACGTGCAATCACGGCCACCTCGCCGCATCAGGATGCGGCACTTGCAGTCGACGGCATCCTCGATGGCAGATGTGCTGACCCCTGTCGACGTGGATCTGGATGAGCAGCCGAACGTGTCGGTGCGGCGGATACAGCTGGGGTTCACGAGGGCAGACGAGGGCGATGAGAGCGGGGAGGGAGGGGGGAATGCGGCGATGGTGTCTGGCAGACGAGAGGGGGTGGACCTGAGCTTCCTGCAATCGGCGCTGAGGGGCGTGCTCACTGGTGGGTGGATGGATGGCTGTGTGCCTCGGGGTGGCTGTATCCCTCTGTGGGTGCGTGTGTGTGTGCAGGTTTGCCAATGAAGATCCCGCTTCGGTGGCTCAGGATGAACGAGCTGACGGAGCAAGAGCAGCTCATTATGGGTGCGGTGTGGTCAAACCTGACACAGACACAGACACAGACACAGACACAGACACTGCATATGTGTGTGTGTCTTTGTTTGTGTGTGTCGTTTCACCAATCCTCATTCAGAGTCTCTACTGCGTGAGGGCACATCGAAGGCCCGCGAGGCATCGCATGCAGCCGAGGCCCTCAAAACGATCGCAGAGGCGCTGAAGCCTCTCCCAATGTGTGTGAGCCACCCACCACACACATCCACCCACACCACTCTCATGTGCCATGTGCGCGTCCAGGTTGCTGAAGCGAGGTGCGGCGCTAGCGCCCACAGAGCTCGACGCCGCGGCCGACGTCCGCTCTCTCATACCCGCCACCCTCTCATCCCTCCTCAGCCGCATCGAGGGCGGCACAGCCACACCCACCGCCACTGCGGACGACCATGGCTCGCTGGCCGACAGCATGGCCGAGCTGACGGCCTTCTATGACGAAGCCAAGTACTACTCGTTCGGCACGCTCATCGGCAGGCTGCTCTCGGCCGCGGACCAGCCAAAGAAGGCCAAACCAAAGCCTGCAAAACAAACGGCAAAACCGTCAAAAGCGGCGACAAATGAGCTGAGGTCTCGCCTGGCGTCGTTGGTGCAAGAGATTGTTGGGGAAGAACGGTTCGAGAGGAAAAAGGCCAAAGGTTTGCAGGCGAATGCGGGACAGGTTTGCGAGCTGGCGACCGATGTGGCTGGCGAGTGCGAGAGGAGCGGGGCGACGTCATGCCTGAACCGGGAGGAGTGGCGCAAGCTGCTGCGGCTGCTGCAGTGGATCGATTCCCACGAGTCGCTCTCTCTGGTACCAAGGCTGCTGCAGCTGTACCCCCTGACGGACGGGGACGTCATGTATCACGTCTTCATGTTCCTCGGCGAGCTGCAGAAGAGCATCACGCCCAAGCAGCCACACGACGCCCTCGACAGGCTCCACACCGCCCTCTCCCTCTTCGACATCGCGCGCACAGTCGGCGACAGACTGGCCGACGAGGAGCAGGAGCAGTCGTCTGAGTCGCTTCACGAGGCCTACAGCCGCATGTGTCAGATCTACTGCAAAGCCGGCGACCCACAGGGGGCTCTCGCGCTATTCCGGGAGGGCCAGCGGGGGCACAGAAACCTCAAGTTTCAGACGAGGGATTACACGATGCTCGTGACGTCTCTGGTGGACAAGTGGCCGGGGGATGCAGTGGAGCTGATAGAGGAGGCCAGGGGAATGGGTGTGGCGAGTCCTGGGCTGCACCGGGCGGCTGTGCGGGTGTGTGAGGAGAGGGGCGACCACCAGAGGGTCATTGCCCTGGTGGATGAGATGGGGGAGAAGGGGATCCCTCATACGTCACGCACCATCACGTAAGCAAGCCACTCACTCTCTCTCTCACACGTGCTGTGATGCAACTCTCTGCAACGAATCAGGGCTGCGACGAAGGCGTACAAGGCTCTGAACCGAGAGGACGATGCCGCCACTTTCCTCTCGTCAGCCGTCCCCCACCTCGACAAGGCCACACTCGTCTCACTTCTACGCCTCGGCGCACTCTCATCGCCCACCCCCCTCCTCCAAACGGCTGTCGACTCTTTATTGACGATGCAGCCGCGGCTCACCCCTGTGGAGATGTTCGACATCATCGGCCTTTGCCAGAAAGCCCGGCTGTTCGAGCAGGTCTTCGCGCTGGCCGTGCCGCAGCACGAGAAGGTGCCCTTCACGCCAGCCGTGAAGCGCCGCCTTGACCGCGCTCTGCTCAGGACGGCCTCTTACGCGAGAAGGGCTGATGTTGCCCTTCCACTGCTAGATAAGCTTCGCGTGACGCCTACGGAGGAGAAGGGAGAGGAGAGCCGGCTGACCGGGCTGTCGGTCAACGACTACCTCGCCGGCATGTGGGCTTGCGCGCACAACAAGACTGCCGTCAGTCAGGCCCTCGACTTATATGAAGAGGCGATGGATCAGGTGCGCGTGCAGCGGGGGCTTTTGGCAGACACCAGCAGCAAGGGCGACGACGAGTACGTCATGGGCGCCCGCGAGCTCACCAAGGTGGCCATCATGCTGTGTGGAGAGTCTAGACGGGGCGAGCAGGCCAAAAACATCTTCATGGCCTTCCGGCGAGATTACTGCTCGCAGACCGACATGGTCAAGCTTCTGGAGCTGACGATGAAGGCCCTTGTGAACTCGAGGAAGCTCAAAGTGGCCCGGGAGCTCTACAAGACCATCGCTGACGAGCACACGGACGAGAGCGCCATGATGCTCGAGGCCCTCCCCTCCGCACTGCAGGAGACCATCGCCGTCAAGCGCCGGACAGCCAAGAGCAAGGAGCCATTCCTGCGGCTCCCCGACGGCAAAGTCCTCGAGGCAGACCCGAACCTCGCGGCGATCGTCGGCCAACTCGCCAACATGTCCAACCCCCTGTCGATGGACGACGTCCTCGCCCTTCAGCAGCAGATGCACGCGCACCTCGAACAGACTGGCCCCCACTGGGTCGCGACGGCGGGAGCGGCCTACTGGCAGCGGGCCTTCTCCGTGGTCGGCATGCGGCTGCACGCGACGGAGGGCGTCACGCCCGCACACCTGCGTGGCAACATTGACAAGATGAAGGAGGCCGGGCTCTCCCCCACCACACGCGACTACAACCGGCTGCTCTCGGTGATTGCGAAAGAGGGGGACCTTCCGGGCGCCAAGGCGGTCATCGCTGAGATGAGGAGAGAGGGCCTGCAGCTTGACGCCTTCATTGCCAACATCATGGCGCTGCTCGGTGCTGGACATGACGACCAGGACACCGTGTGGTCGGCCCTTGCCGAGCTGGAGGGGCTGATGCACACACGCGCACGCACAGAGGGAGACAAGGGGAGAGAGGACCAGGAGTTCGTCAAGGCCTACGCGTCCTTTACGTGGCAAGTGCTGAGGGGCTACTCCTGGCGCCTGCAAGAGGCCAACGCCACCTCGCCATCTGACGTCGCGCCCCTCAAGCGGCGAGCGCAGTCAGCCGTCGAGCAGCTCTACAACCGGTGCTTCACCTACCGCCCCGCAGTCGCCCCCTCACTCGTGTTCGATAAGCGGACTCGGCAGCTCATGGCGAGTATGTGGCGAATCGAGTCAACCGAGCCCCAGACGGACAGCGAAATCTTCAGGAGCTTCCGGCACATGCGTGACGCCATCAAGCGGCACCAGGTCAAGCAGAGCCTGCTCAAGTTCATGGCGAGCCCGGCCGGATGGCATCTCGATACCGTCGACGGGTGCCTGGCGGAGATCCGCTCTCTCCAGGCGCAAGCGGCCGCAGCAGAGGCCGTCGAAGGCGACAGGCTAATCATGACGCTTCCTGAGGCTAGGACGATCATGTTTGCGCTGAGCCGGTGTTCGGAGGTGCCTCCTGACCGGCTCATCGAGGCGCTGGAGAATGACCTGCCGCCCCTGATGGACTTAGGGGGGAGGGAGGGCGGTGATGCTGCCGCTGTGCTGAGGACAGACCCCGTGTGTCAGGGGTATCTTGTGGAGACCTACGCTAAGGCGGGCCAGTGGAAAGAGGCCCTCGACAAGCTCGACCAGCTGCAACAGGTCCGTGTATATATCACACACACACACGCACACACAAAGAGAGAGAGAGAGAGATCGTGTGTGTGTCTTCGTGCAGATGGGCGTGTACCCCCCCGTGGCTGCCTACAACTCCGTGATCGACCTCCTAGGCCGCCGCAACCAAGGCAAGAAGATGCTCGGCCTCTACCGATCCCTGCAAGACCTCCACCTCTCCAACGACGTCGCCATCACGCCAGAGACCTTCCTCACCATCCTGCGTGGCCTGGGCCAGAACGGCATGGCCGCAGACACCCTCAACGTCCTCGACGACATGCTCCAGTGGAAAAGGGAGCTCTCGGCGCTCAAAACGCCCTTCAAGCACGTTCACTTCATGGAGGCTCTGCAGGCGGGCGTAAGGAGCGAGGGGCTCCGGCTGCCCCAGTTCGTGTCGGAAGTCCTCAGCGTGATGCAGCACGTCGGCGTGACCCCCACGCAGACCCTCTACGCCCACGCCATGCGCGCAGCAGCGAAAACCGGCGATCTCAGCGCCATGCAAGGCTTGCTGGACTCTTCGGAGACCATCACGTTCGCGAGCGACGTCAAAAACGGCACTGCAGCGGTGGGCCCCTCTGCGGAGATGCTCGACGTGGCCATACAGGCGTATGTCGAGAACGGCAAGGGGGACGAGGCCGTCGGCCTGCTGGACCAGTTCATCCTGAAGGGGCTGAAGCCCACACCCACCACCATCGAACTCGCCGCACGGGCGTGCATCGACGGCCAGAACTGGCGGCGAGCCGTGAACCTCCTGGAGTTCGCGGCCCAGGAGAAGACCCCTGTCGACCTGCAGACCTATCGCAGAGTGATGGCGGCCCTCCCCGACAAAGCGGACGTGATGGCGGTGTTTGCTATGGCGGAGAAACGGGTTGGCGAGTGCATCAGGGAGGCCAAGCAGAGGAAGAGAGTCAGCCCACAGATCGTCGACAAAGAGAAGGCCCGCCTGACGGGCCTGCGGCAGGAGGCAGAGGAGATCTACCGACTGGCGAGAGAGGCGAGTGGTGAGGGAGACGGTGCAACCGCCATTGCTGCCAAGCAGACTAAGCAGGACAACCTTTTCAAGAACCTGATCGAGGCGCTCCCAAAGCCCCCCGTCGCCACGCCGGCGAAGGACACCAGCTACCAGCAGAAGACCCTCAAGGCCCTGGCCGCATCGCAGGACCTCACACAAGCCACGCGAATCATCAACACGGCCCTGCAAAGGCAGCCCAACGCCACACTCGCTGACCAGTCCCTCCTCCTCGCAGAGCGTGACTACAAGACCATGATAGTGGAGCTGCTGAGGCTCAACACGTCCGCATCGCAGCTGGAGGATTTTCTGCTCGCCATGGACAATGTGCGGAAGCAGCAGGGCGGCTCTGCGGGCCAGCGGCCCTCGCCACTGCCCCAGGAGTTTGTGAGCATGGTGCTGCACATCGGGCGGCTGGCCGATTGGCGGCAGCTGAACCGGTTCCTCGAGAAACAGGGCTTCAGGCAGCTGCCCAGAACCACGCAGAGAGACCTCGGTGTCGACCGCCAGACAAACAGACGTGGCAAAGGCAGCCACAAGGCCCCCCGCCCCCCGACCGATGCAGTCGACAAGACCAGCCTCTATCTCTCGCTGCTGGCCGCCATTGCGAGTGTCTTCTACCGGGGCAAGTTCGACAGAGTGCCTTTCCTGCTCAATAAGGCCAGCGACTGGGGCGTCACGCTGCCCAGCTCAGGCTGCGTGCAGGAGTACAGGGACAAGGCGCAGGCATCCCTCGAGCTCGCCTTCGCTGATGCGGACGTCTTCGCCACCTTCACGCAGCAGCGGCTTGACGCACTCATGCAAACGCTCTTCGGGCGGCCGACTTCGGGCAGGCCGGCGAAGGACGAGGCGACCCTCGCCGTGATGGAGCTGCTGGCCATCCGTGGCGCGTTCGAGCGGCTGTCGACCAAGCAGTGCAACACACTGCTCAAGTACACAAGCCGCCTCGACGACGAGAATCACCCGTCATCATCTGCCAGCCTGACCGAGCTCATCTTCAACGAGATGCGTGTCCGCGGTGTCCACACGCGCAACGAGCAGACCTACACGACCGTGGGCAACCACCTGGCCAACAAGGGCCACTGGCGGCGGGCAATGCAGCTGCTCGACGAGCTGGACAGGGAGGAACGCACCCGGCCGTCAGACGCCATCTATGGAGTGGTGTTCAAGGCGCTGCACAAGCCTGGGAGGGGCCAGGAGGCCCTCGACGTCTACAGTCGGATGCAGTCGATCGGCCTCTTCCCCGGACGTGTGAGCACCAACTACCTGATGGCGGCGCTGAGCAAGGCCGGCATGGCTGGGAGCGCTTTTGACGTCTTTGCTGAGGCCAAGGAGAGGGGGGTGGCCGTGAACCTGAACACGTACACCATCGCCATTCAGGCTGCGGGCACCGTAAGCCCTCCCACAGAGAGAGAGAGAGAGAGAGGCGGCGTTTGTGTGTGTCACACGTGTGTGTGTTTGTGTGCTGGTGACAGCTGCATGACCCCGAACGTGCTGTAGCGCTGCTGAACGAGTGCCGGTCGGCGGGCATCTCGCCTGACCTGGTAGCCTACGCCTCCGCCATGCGCGTGGCAGCTGACGCGGGACACCTGCAGACAGTGGACCAGCTCTACACACAGATGAAAAGTACGCAACGACGGACGGAGACAGAGAGAGAGAGAGATAAGACACACACACACACACACGGATGGCTGCGTGAGTAGGTGACGGCATCTCTCCCTCGTCGGGCATCTTCACCTTCCTGCTGCTGGCGTGCGCCGAGGCGGGCAGCCCCACACAGGCCCTGACCTACCTGAGGGAACAGAAGTCCCTCTACGCCATCCCCATCCGCACCAACGACTACCAGAAGCTGTTCAGGGCCTACCAGACACAGGCCGAGAGAGGGGAGCACCATCACGGCCTGTTGGATGAGTTGCTGGGCCATTTGGCGTCGATGCGGGAGGAGGGGCCTCTCCCCGATAATGTGTGCTACGCCACGTGCATGGAAATCGCCTCCCTGCTCAGAGATAGGCAGATGGCCGCTCGGCTGGTTGAGGACTACGAGCAGAACGAGCCGCTCATGTCGCCTTACCCATCTCTCAAGGCAACACACACACACACATGGATGGTGGATGGATGGATGGGCATCATGTGCTGCTTTCTTGTGTGTATTGTATGCAGGTGTACGGCACAGCAATGGAGTGCTACGAGCGCGCCGGTGATCAGCAGGCCATGGCGGCCGTCTGGCGCGACAAGGTCTCGCCCATCGCCTCAAAAGTCCGCTCCAAGAACTTCGCCGTCCCCGCCTACCTGTGGGAACTCGTCGGCGCCACCTACTCAGATCAGGAAACCGAATGGCAGGTGCGTGAGGGCGTGCGGGTGTGTGCGTGAGCGAGCATGGATGCATGTGCGTGTGTGTAACCACTACAAAATGCAGGTTGGCCGTGATCGCTCGATGGTGGTCGAGTCGCGGCGTGACTCCGCCAAAGCGGCCGGGGGGCGGAAGGAGAGGGGCGATGGGGCCGCCGCTGTCATGACGGCTAAACGCAAGACAGCACTGGTAGGCTCGCTACACAGACACGGATGCACACGGGGTGAATGGACGCTGCTGGTTGTGTGTGTGTGTGTGTCAGCGTCGGTCGGCGTCCCTCGATGCGTTCGAGGCGGAGCTCAACGAACTGCTCGCCGACCAGGCCGCACACCTATGGGTAGGGTAAATGGGCCAACATGACACCCATCACGCGCGCTCATCATGTGCTCTGTGTGTGTGTGTGTCAGAATGCCGACTACTGGCTGTGTTTGGTGGAGCTCGGTCGCGTCATGAAGACAGAGAGGGAGCAAGGCACACAGACGAATGAGCATGACCTCTCGTCGCGTGTGCGACAGCTGGCCGCCCGCATTGTGGGCGAGCGGTCGCAATACCTGACGACGCCCGTCGTGGAGAGAGCAAAGGAGGTACGTATGCGTGAATCAATCATATGAGGATGGATGTGCAGTGCATGTCTCGTGTGATCCATTAATGATTGGTGCTTGTGCCTGCAGGTGGGTTACGATGCTGGTGGCGCGAGTGAGGCCTCCTCCCTGCCGATGACAGATATGGTGCAGCAGGTGGCAGTCTCATAGCGTTTGTATAGCTCTGCGAGGAAACTGTGCTGCATGGGTGGGGTGGTCTCTTTTTCTCGCCCGCTCTGTTGTGTGTGTGTGTGTGGCGGTTGCGTTGCGTCTGAGGAAGTGAGTGTGTTGGGATGTATAGGCATCGGTAGGTCCATGACATCTGTGTGATCTGTGTGATCGTCTCTTTATATCCATCATCCGCGCGTGTGTGTGTCTGACTCATTTGGTTAGCCGTCCATTCAGTGTGGCGGTGTCTGTCCAGATCGACAGACAGACAGACAGTCAGACTTGATGCTGTTTCCCTGCGTGCCAATCAACTGAGTGAGAGCCCGTCAGAAAGCGGTCTTAAGAGTACGAGTTAATTAATCAAGCCGCAGGCTACTGCATAAAAAACTACTCGCAAGTTGCCAAATCACCCAGTGAGTGCCGAGCACAGAGAAAAGCCCAGAACAGACTTTGCAGAGGAACCTGTTTTCAGATCAGATCTCAGACGTGCTTTCAACGAATACCGCCTGAGCAGGTCTTCATTCGAACAACACTGCGCGGTCTCGCAGCCCTCACATATTGTTCGACCATGGGGCAGGTTCCCATAGGATGCCTGTGACCAACACCCACCGACACACAGACACGCCAATCGCGTGCAGTTTCCTAAAATGTGGCGTTTTCGTCACGTGAACTGTTAGCTGACCTGCAAACCCCCGCCTCTGCAACGCAATGATGTCAGCATTGGGCGGGAAGCCCTCGGGGGGCTGGAAACCCATCACCTTTTGCTGAAACCAGGCGGGGAGGTCGCCGTTGATGAGCGCCTCCACTACCTCCTGATCGTCGAGCTGGCCGTACGTGTTGAACGCGCTCCACACGCCGAACACCTGCACGCAGACAAACACACACACACATATTTCACGATTCGCATGCATTGATATCTGTGACTCACCAGTCTGCCGATGTCTGTGCGCATGTTGACGCCGAACATGCCCGCGATTTGCTGTCTTGGGAGCATATTCCTATTCAGCGCTCCCATGAATTCGGTGGTGATGACACTGGCCAGCAGCTGTGGGTGGCCCTTCTCGACGAGATGGAGGAGTCCCGCGTCCTGGTCGTTGCTCACCACGTGCAGGTTCGACGAACACGATGACGCATCGACCACTAGGGGCGGAGTAGACGATGCCATCGTTCTTGGAGTGCCCGCGAAGTCCGGCGCGAAGTGCTGACGGGGTGGCTGGGTGCTCTGATCGTCGTCATCACTGCTGTCGACCAGATTGTCCCATTTCGAATAGTCAATTCCACCGCGCGACATCTTGGGCTCCAACCAGCCTCCGTCCAACCACTGGCCTGTTTCGAGATGATCTCTGCGGAGGGGCTGATCAGTAAACCCTGTAAACCCTAAACCCTAAGCCCTGTAAACCCTAAGCCCTGAATTTAAACCCTATGCTTCTGTTCAGCACACAAATCAAAAGGTACGGAATCAGAACAGTGATAGGGGGAACAGGCTGAGCGGTGCATCACACCTCCTTGCTTCCCTTCTTTTTCAGATGGCCGCCCCACGTGATCACGGCGACGTCCCCCGCAGCAGAAGGAGAAGGTGTGCTTCCTGTCGACACCGCCAGCACAGAGACCACCTGAGGCAGTGCACGGAGGCAGAGTGTCGGCGCTACCTGTGCGATGAATGCATTGAGTCCGACAAACTACGTTGTTCTGTCGAGAGCTGCCAGGCACCCTTGTGCTGGCGCTGCGCAGATGCGCAGATATGCGAGCATCACGGCGACCACGTGTGCAGCAATTGCCGGGCGGGAACATGCGAGGCATGTGGCCAGTGGTGGTGCACAGAGTGCGAGATATTCTGCGACCACTGTGACGAGCCCAAGTGCCCCGGCTGCGGTCTTGAGGAATGCAGCTTTTGCCATCAGGAGGGGTGCAAGGAGTGTATGGAGTTCTGGCAGTGCTATAATTGTGGGACGGATGTTTGTCGGTGGTGTGCAGTGGCTTGTGATAGTGTGAGAATCGAGCATCGCCCAGGTCATCAGCCTTGCCAAGAGGTGTTCTGCAATGATTGTGCGCCTCGGGGTCGGAGATGTCAAGAATGCCATGATATCCTCCGAGAAGTGCATGTAGGAAAACGATGCGAACGATCATTTGAATGTCTTGATGTTTCTGTGTCTGTGTGTGTTCAGGAAGCCTGGGGCATTCCTTTTTACAGTGATGATAATGACTCTGATAGTGAGGGGGAGTACCGTTTTTCGTTCGAAGAAGTTTCGGACTGATCGGTCAAATGTGTGAATCACTGATAGATGCATTACATAGTGATTGTTGATTGTTTTCGTCGGTCATGTTTTCGACGTCTTTTTTTCTCCCTCTGTGTTCTGTTCCTGCTGGGGACTGCCTGCTGATGACTTACAATTGATTGCATCAAAAATGCACCATGCAGAGTCTTTATTCACAGCCCATCCAGCGATGCGTCGAAAGATGCATGCATCGTCCGGTCACCAAAAGGCTGGCCCCTCTCATCTGATGCCTGCCGATAGGCAGCCAGCCTCTTGCTCTCTGACACAACTCCACGTTGTCACTCATCAACCTCATCAAGCACACATCTCATCATTTAAACCATGACCGGAAAAATCAGAGCAGACAGACACAAAACACCCCCCGTCTGTCTGTCTGTCTGTCTGTCGACATGTGGCTCATGCATTGGCCAACTCCTCAATCTGTTTGTCCAGCTCTGCTTGCTCGTCGCTGGATTCGCTTTCTGTGCGGCCGTAGACGTCGATGCTGCTGTGCTGCTTGACGTTGTCGTCGAATGAGGGTTCAAACTTCTGGTTGAGGATGCGCTTCCTTTCTGTGCTGAAGTTGAAGTCGTCAGCCACCTCACCCAAGTCCAGCAACTGCGCCTCTGGCCGACGCCTTCAGACACACAGACAGACATACATACATACAGACAGAGATACAGACAGACAGAGATAAGCATGTGTGCGTGCGTGTGTGGATGATGTCTGTTTGTGTTTGTGGGTATCTTTCGTTAGGCACCTGAACGTCCTTGCAGCGGCAAGGACACGTTCAGTGAGAGCTTCGGAGAATCGCGCCTCCTCGCCACTGATCATCGGCTCGACCGCAGACAACCTCGCACCTATTACCCACCCATACACACACACCCACACACCCGAACCATGAGAATGCTCGCGTGTGTTCGCTTTTGGCCGACCCCCCCACCAGTAGGGCTGTTGACGTCGTCTCCTTCAAAGAGGTCGCCCAACGTGAGCGCCATCACCCGCCGGTATGACGTGTCCACGCCCCTGTCGATGGTCTCAAGCGTGCCGGCTGTCAAAGGCTCTATCACCCAGTACTCTGCACACAAAATGCAAAGGCAAAGCGGCAGACAGACAGACAGACAGACAGACAGACAGACAGGGGGCCCTCTGTGTGTCGCACATATGGGTGGGCGAGCACACATCGTCCGTCAGATTGACCTTCGAGTTTGTTTTTGTCATTGAGGAGGTAGCAGCATGCAAGGCCCAGAGCAATGTAGTCATCAGACTTCAGCGGCTGCACGCATCCACCACATCACATCCACAGATGCGGACGAACACATCAGCAGCTGCAGTCAGGTGCCTGGCTGTGTGTCCAGTATAGTGGCGGTTGCGTCTTACGGCGTATGGGTCGATCATATCGTGAGGCAGTGTCACCCCCCCGGCCCGCAGCACGCTGATATGTCCACCCCCTGACCTCCTCAAGTTGCTCGTGCTCGGCCTCATCCCTGCAGGGCACGCGAACGGAGGCAGATCCATGCTTGCATCTGCTGCATCCAATATCTAGTGCGCCAGTCAGTCACCTGCTGCATCAATGTAGCTGATCCTGAAAGCGGCTGACAAGGGCACGCTGACCAGCACAGCCACGAGGGCACGCACCCATGAGATTGAGATGGCGGTCATCATGACTGCTGGTCGCGGACAGATGGGTGGACAGATGGTGGGTGGGTGGAGCTGGAGAGTGTCAAAACAGCCAGTCCGGCGCCGGGATCTGCGAGGAGTTCTGCGAGCTTAGATTTCTGCGAGCTTAGAAACGTGAATCTCTCGTTTTGGAACCCCGTGGAAGCAGCACCGCGTCGCTGTGCCCCGCCCCTTCGCCTCGCCCACCCCATCATCCCTCGGACAAGATCGTTGGCAGATCAGCAGCCCATCCCACATCTGTCTCAAGCGTCAGCGCACCACTCATCGGCACACACAGGCGGTACAGAGGCCCGCTGCGGAGTGCCTGGGGGGGTTTTGCATGCCCGTGTGGCTGTGGGAGGCTCAGCGGAGAAGGCTCTGAGGCGAGTGAATAGGTGTGGTAGGGCACGATGTTGTCGCTCGACAGTGCGAAGGAGGTGTCGACCTTGCTGATGTTCCTTGTGGCATACTGCATACAGCCGCTGCTGGTGAGCCAGCTAGGGGTGGATAGATAAACGAGACCGACCGCACTCTCTCTCAATAATGGCTGGCTGATGTGATGACTGATTCATTCACACAGGTCGATGTGATCAAGTACAACGGAGGGGCGCACGTAAGCAGTAATCACACACAAGAGCCCTCTCTCCTTGTCTGTCTGTCTATCTGCGTATCGGCACGTGTGTGTGTGTGTGTGTGTGTCTCTGACTGTGCAGTCGTCGACATTTTTGTTTTTGCTGCCGCACTACTACGCCATGATGCTGGTGGGGTTCATTCCCACGGAGAAGAGCATCTGGGAGTGCGACTGGCGTAAAGGCATTGTCGTCAGCGCGTGTGACATCGTCAACCAGGCACTCAAGAAGGGTACGCTCCCCCCCCGCACAGACTCACTCACACACACGCCCATTCCATGGAGGGATAAGGGGATTGGATTGGGTGGGGTGGGTGCAGTTGGTTTGATATTTTCTGGCGCGGCGGTGTACATAGTGGTGGACAGCAGCTCGATCGTGTGGACGGCCATCTGGTCCTGGATCCTCCTCAGGAGAAGACTCGTCTTCATGCAGTGGGTCGCGGTGAGCAATCCCCCTCCCCCCCCCCCCCCCCCCCCC